ATGTTACCCCACCAGCACACCGCCACGGACAAATATTTGGTGCATTAGATATACTTAACATGGTATTCTTTTTTTATATTTGAATAAAAATTCATCAATTCTGAATTTTTTTTATCACATTAAAAAAGTTTTTTTTTTTAAAAAAAAAAATATATTTAATTAGGTACATCTAATGTACTGAATACTTATTCCACCGCCACAGCGGGGAATGAGTGTGATCCAATGCTGTCTTGTGATTAGTAATAATATTGCAAAGTATATATATATATATATATATATATATATATATATATATATATATATATATACACTCTTAATATTAGTAGTTAATTATATTAATATCTAATAGTTTTAATTTATTAATTATTTAAGTCTATATTTATATATATATAAATAATAAAAGGAATAAAGTGAAGTAAATTTTTTAAATGATTATAATATAAAATTTATGGTTAAATATTATATTTATTAAATTTTACATTATTTTATAATTATTTAAATGCCTTATCTATATATATTAAAATAGGAAAAAATACGTATCATTTTAAAAGATGTAATGTTTTGTCATTTTAGATAAGAGAAAGATATAGATAAAAAAAGAGAGAGAGTTGACAAAAAAATATAAGGTGTGGGTCCCACCTCTTTGTGAGAGTAAATGACACAAGTTCTGTCATTTAAAATGACAAACACTTAGTCTATTAAAATAATGGTAAAATACATATTTAAAAATATAAAACATAAGAGTTATTAAACATATTTTTATTGTCGTTATTGTTGATTAGTGTAAGAATGTCAAACTGTTCTGTCCTGTAACAAGATTTGGTTCCGTATCTTAACTTTTTTAATAGGATATGGTTCCAAATCCTAACTTTTTTTTTTTAAATGGGATTCGCTTTTTTTCATGTCATATGACAAGAACATTTTATCTATACACACAAATCAAGTATGAGTTTCACGTTTAAAAAAAAATCAGATCCAAAACTGTATTTTATTTAAAAAGTCACGATACCGAACCAAATTCTATTACAGGACATAATAGTGTCATTCCAAAATGATTTCCCTATTGGCATAAATCAATCTCTTCTTTTATTTGCCCACGACACTAATTATTCGATCACTTTCGAATATTATATCATCAGATTAATTCTCACATAACATTTAATTTAGCAATGCTGATCTTCCTCGATCTTCTGAATAGTACATTAAATAGTATAAATTAAATGATAGTTAAGAATGATGTATTAATGAGTGGCTCGTCACATTCGCTAAAAAGAATTTTTATTTTTGTTTTAATTATGGTTGATTGTAACAAATATTGTTTTTACTTATAAATATTCATCAAAATTGTGAATTTCTGTTCTAAGAGACAAAAAATATCATTTTTTTTAAAAAAAAGTGACAAAGATTTTTGCATAAAATATTGAAAGCTAATAATTATTTTAAAGATTATATTAAATGATATTTCGATAAGTGCGACTATACTCATAATCATGTTAGGTTTACCACTCTTGTCACTTATTTGATTATTATTGGATCAATTTGAGATCAATGACAATTATCTTTTCTCTTTTTAACCATAGATCTCAAATTGATTCAACAATAACCAGTCAGGTAATAAGAGTGATTAGTCTAAAATGATGGTAAATATAACCTTCCCTATTTTGATGAGGGCAGTTATATTTACCACTATGTTAGACTTACCACTTATTTGATTATCGTTGGATCAATTTGAGATTAACGACAGTTACCTTACCACTATTTTAGGCTTACCATACTTATCACTTATTTGATTATTATTGGACCAATTTGAGATCAACAATAATTATCTTTTTCTCTTTTTCAATTGTTGATCTCAAATTGATCCAACAATAACTAAATTAATCAGATAATAAAAGTGATAAGCCTAATGATAAATATAACCTTCCCTCCATAAACTCTTCATCAATGTATATGTATTGCCTATTGCTTTTTTTTTTTTTAATTAAAAGAAAAAAATATTTTACCCTTTTATTATATTTGACACTCGTAAATGGGTTATTTTGTTATGGCGTAACGTAGATAGTTGGAACTTGGACATAATTAAGTTACATTTAAGAGTTAATTAAGAGGAGGGATATTTTAATTTCAATATAAAACTAATAAGTCTTATTTTTTATTTGAGTCGTTGATTTCTGATCATCAAACAATTATAATTTATTTGAAATTAATAATTAATTATTAATATAATTATACCCATTAGATCAATAGAAAACAACAACTGAGATGTGAAGTAAGATTTGTTAGTCTTTATACTGGAGTTAAAAGATTCATTTTTGTTAATGAAATATGAAAATGGATCCTTATGTGTAATTTAATATGATTACGTGAGATAAGAGATTTGTGATTAATATATGATGTGTGGACTAATAGTATTTATGAAAGAGATAGCCACAAATGATGGTAGATTATTGTGCACATATAACAAACGAAATGTGTGTACACAATGAAAATAAGTAGGGGTAAATATTTCTTCAGCCACTTCAGATAAGGTTATCTACAGCTACTGTTTTTAACTATGTTCTCCCGGAAGAATATAATTATAATATTAAAGTTGTTTTTTTTTTCTCTCTTCTCAGTTACTTTTCAGAACTTGTTTGCTGACGTAGAGAAAGAAAAAAAAGCAACTTTAATGTTTTAACTATGTTCTCCCGGGAGAACATAGTTAAAAATGATAACCTTATCTAAAGTGGTTAGAAATATTTTTTTCCAATTAAATAAGATAAGATTAGATAAAACACATCATCTCAAAGAACAAATGGGGCTTATTGAGTGGGTCCAGAACAATTGTTAATTCCAATATAATCTTGTTAACAAAAGAACCAAGACTAACGGTGGGTGCATATTAGATTAGTAGTAGGGACTAATTTATAATGTGATTTACGCCTAATTCTTTGAGGATAAATGCGAGGATTAACTTTAAATTTATTTTATTACATTTTCTCCGTAACTTTGGCGTACCTACGAAGATGACCTTTCCCTTTGGGTTTAACGAATCTTACCCTGAAATATTTATTTGGCCATGATCTTAGTAGAATCGCCATAAGTTAGGATGATGGTGCTGAATGGAGCAAGCAATGCAATATAGACAACATGATATACAAATTAACAGATCAAAATGGGAGAAAAAGGGTAATGAGGAGGAGGGGCCTATAAAGGGAATTTGTTCATATTTACTGTTAAGATATTTACAGTTAGATGTGACAAAATTGAAAGAAATCATATTTACCAAAGAAGCAATCAGAGAGCTTCAGCCGCAACACCAATAGCAAATTAATGTCTCTGACCAATCCATTCAACAACGATATTATTCCAATAGTATCTATCATAAAAAGAACAAGATGCTAAACCTTTGGTTAAGTTCACGAATTAATAAGTGTCATGCGGGACTGCGGGTCCATAGAAGACTATCATCAATAAGCTAAGTTGATCAAATACATTAAATAAGTTCGACACCACATTTCAACTCAAAACTTTAAGACTTTTGGTTTATAGATCTTCCACTTATATATTTTTCACTTAATTCATTATTAACCAAGGTAAGAGTCATCACACTTGAATATCGGTACGATATGATGCCTTGCCTGCTTTCAAAGTTATGACATGAATGACTAGTCTAGTTCTTTTACATTCAATTTTTTTTATTTTTATTTTTTGTTCTGAGATGTTCTATCTGTGCTGTGCAACCAGTGAAAGTGACAACACACATGATTGTTCTTCGTGTGTCTTTGTAATGATCCCAAAGAGTTGATAAACTTTACCATCACTTCTACCATTCTCGGCTATCCCTAGTTCCCTCATCTCCCATCCAAGAAACCAAGAACAAAGAGAAAAAGGACAAAACCCAATTTGTTTGTTTTTGTTCAGGCATAGGCATAGTTTGTAACATTTACCATTAGGTGCACGTACGGTTCAACTGACATTGGCATTTGGCATTTAGCAGCCAGCCATTATGGGAAGTTCTTGCATTGCATTGCATTGCACACACTGTTCGGATATCCAAGCACAAAGCAAGCTTCAAATTTTGTTTGACTCCATGCTCCGTTCTCTGCTGTTTTTTTTTTCGCCCTTTTATGCCTCTTGTCTCTGCTGTACTGTGTGTGTTGTCTTAGCGGTGAGTCTGCTTTATGGTCCCGTTCTGTCACTGTAATTCAACTTGGGAAGGTGTTAAAGCTCCTTTGTGGTCGCTGAAAAGGGGATTTATACATGCAATCTTACAAGCTGTCCTGCCAAGAACTTGGAGTATGGTAAAATTCAAACATGCCCCCTCTGCTCCTTTTTGGGACCACGAAGTGAACCAAAATAAAGACCCTTTGGACTTAATTACAGTACCAACACCCCACAAATAATTAACTACACCAGCACAAGCATTTTATCTCGTGTACAACGTCTGTGGTCTGCCCTATAAACGCAGCCTATAGATGTGAGCTAATACAACAAAGAAAAATTTGAAGGAAAGTGGTACACTCTTGAGGATATAGTTTTTTCATTTTTTAATTATGCACCAAAACATAAACATGTAAGATTGGATTGGTAAGTGATAAATTAACATGGGAAAGTAGTGAGTCATTAGATTGTTGTTTTTTTTCACATGTATGCATGTCACTTTAATTTTCTTCACATCTTTTCAGAGAATGTACAGAGCCTCGGAGAAGATGAAGCACTGTCGAGATTTGATGCCATGCCATGCCATATGATACCTTTCTTCTTTTTTATTTTTCTTTTTGTTTCTCTTCTTTTCAGCTTGCAGCCATTACAAGGCTTCCTGTCTTTCCCTCTCTTGTACTTTCTTCACTCTTTTCTTCCTTCAAGACTAGTGCATAATCTAAGAAATAGTTCTGAGTAAACACGTGGAACTTGTTCAGTCATAAACCTTTCAGTTTGTTCCCCCCATTAGAATCTCTCATCTCTTTGTCAAAAAAAAGTTAGTTCTTATTCTCTACAGAAATATCAGGCAAGTGCAAATGAAGGATCCGGTGGAGGATCAAGTGAAATCTAATAGTAGGGTTCTGCAGAAATCCACAAACCTTAGAAGAAAGGGTACAAGAAGAAGCCAATGCAAATCAGATAAATTACAGGATACAATACTTGATTCAGAACTTGGTTCTTCTGCTTCTTGCAAAAGTCTTGTGTTTCCTACGAGGCCTGGTTATGGCCAGGTGGGGACAAAGTGTCTGGTCAAAGCTAATCACTTCCTTGCAGATATATCAGCATCCAACTTGAGCCATTACAGTGTAAGTCAAATCTTCAGGTGTAAAGAAGATTTAGAACAACACAACTAATAATTAGATCTGTGTAAAGGATTTTTGCTAAGTTATATGTATGTTTTGTGAAGGTTAAAATAACACCTGAAGTTACTTTTCGTAAAACAAGCAAAGCTATCGTAGCTGAGTTAGTGAGGCTTCATAGGAACACTGACTTGGGGATGAGGCTCCCTGTTTATGATGGAGGAAGAAATCTTTACACTGCTGGTTTGCTTCCTTTTGCGTACAAAGAATTCACCATAATATTGAGGGAGTATGATGAGGGTACCGGTAGTACTAGGTGATTATTCAATTAGCCATGTTATGTCATCTTCAAAATTGTTTTGTTCTTAACTGCTCACAAAAACACTTGGATTTTGAAAGGTTAAATAAATGTGAGTTTCAATCATTTGTGTCAGGGAAAGAGAATTTGAAGTGGCAATCAGGTTTGCAGCTCGTGTTAGCATGCATCAATTGCGTCAACTTCTCAGTGGGAAACAAGTGGACACCCCACAAGAAGCGCTTAGTGTCATTGACATTGTATTGAGGGAGCTTGCGGCCCAGAGGTGCATTTGTGGTTGTTCTTTCAACATTGCCTCTTTTTAATCTGATTGAGGCTATTGCTATTGACTATCTTCTTGTTTCTTGAATCTTGATTTTGCATGTTTAGCTACGTATCCATTGGGAGGTTTCTCTATTCTCCGGATTTAAGAAAACCACAGCAGCTTGGTGGTGGCTTGGAATCATGGCGTGGCTTCTACCAGAGTATAAGGCCTACTCAGATGGGATTGTCTCTTAATATTGGTGAGAGTTCTACCATATCTTCCTCTTTTAATGAGATTTTTACATACCTGTTGTTAGATATATAAAAACCATTAATGTAGCCTCACCCAATAGCTTAAGTTTTTTGGTTGAATTGGTTCTTTACATGGTATCATCAACACCTGTCACCCATTTTAATTAATCAATACTTAGGAGCTGCTTTTCTTTTGATTTTTTTTTTCTTTCGTTCTCTTTTCAGACATGTCATCAATGGCGTTTATTGAACCACTCCCAGTAATTGACTTTGTTGCTCAAATTTTGGGGAAGGATGTGCAATCAAAGCCATTGTCAGATGCAGATCGTGTCAAGGTAAGAAATATGTTTGATTTTGGCAACTAGCAATCATTGTTTTTAGAGACACTATTATCTTCACATGTTATACCAAACAGGTGATGCTGGCATACTCCATACTCTCCACTACTCAGTCTTGGCTATTAACTAAAAATGAATGGTGTAACTTTTGTAGTCTCATGTGTCATAAAAGTCATAGCTTTCTGCTTTCTTCTGTCTGCTTACATTTTCTACATTGCCAGCGAGCATGGAACAAAAGATTAATAAAATTCATGGCCTCTACGTGCTGCTAATTCAAACCAAGGATATATGTATTAAACTAATATCGTTATGATTATTTCTCTCTGAGGTGAGTCCAGGCAACTTCTAGTCTAGATTAAAATGGAAAATAATATAACCTGGCCAAGAATCCTTGTGCTCCTAGACATGCTAATAAATCTCATGCAAAAGTATTTTTCTTCTAATTCTCCTCAGCTTATAAATTTTCCAAGTGCACCAACCAAAGGTTGAGATTGTTGATTAATCTCTAAATTCAAGTTCGTTTTCTTGGCTGTTGAAGAATGTAATTGGTAAGGTCTCTAGCTCTTGAGTCATGATAAACATTTAATATCTAACCAAGAAATCTTTGTGGGGTCACTCAAGCAGATTAAGAAAGCCTTAAGAGGTGTGAAAGTTGAAGTTACACATAGAGGAAGTTTTCGAAGGAAGTACCGGATATCAGGATTGACATCACAGCCTACAAGAGAACTTAAGTATGGCTTTGTAACTTATGCATTGCAAGTTGAACTTGCATTTTTTAGATATGACCTCTCAGGAAATGATTGTCTTTTTTTCCTTTGAACAGTTTCCCTCTTGATGACAAAATGAACATGAAATCAGTAGTCGATTACTTTCAAGAAGTGTATGGATATACAATCATATATTCTCACCTACCCTGCCTTCAAGTAGGAAGCCAAAAGAAGGTGAACTATTTGCCCTTGGAGGTAAGCTATTCTTTGAATTTATTCAAACCATTTTTTTAATACTTATTTTTCAATAAACAACGCATATGAATCTTGTATCAGGCATGCAAAATCGTTGGGGGTCAGAGATATACAAAAGGGCTAAACGAAAAGCAGATAACATCTCTGCTAAAGGTCTCATGCCAAAGACCACGTGAACAAGAGACAGATATTCTACAGGTCATTGTCTTGGATTCTTGATATCACCCTCTTCCTTTATATTTTATTTTATTTCTTTCTTTTTTCTTTTTTTTGGAGTCAGATTTAATTGGAAACTTGTTGAGATATATAGTCCCACAACTAATGTGGAGTTTATGAGGCCTTGGGCACTCCCACCCTTTGAGCTAGCTTTTGGGGTGGTGTATCCCAAGGTTCTTTACATGGTATCAGAGCCTCGCCGCCCCCCACTTTCTCTTGTGGCGTTTCTTAGCACAGGTAGGCTGGGCCTGTTGCATTGTCCACTCTTCAAGCCCAATGGGTTCTTGTGTGAGGGGGCGTGTTGAGATATATAGTTTCACATTGGTTGTATGTGCAACTAATGTGGAGTTTATAAGGCCTTGGGCACTCCCACCCTTTGAGCTAGCTTTTGGGGTGGTGTATCCCAAGGTTCTTTACAAAACTAAATAGGCATGATATGTGTGATAAAATGCAAAGTGTTTTTTTTTTTAGTACATGATGAGGGGGCTAAGCCCAATTGCAAATTGTTTTTTAACTAGTCATTTTTAAGTCATTTATTCTCTTCCTCTATAAAACAGAAAGTTTGTGTGTGTATGGTTTGGTTTAATTAATATAGAACTTTCCAATCATTCTTGCAGATAATTCAACAAAGTGATTATGAGTGTAATCCCTATGCAAAGGAGTTTGGTATCAGCATAGACAGCAAGCTTGCATCAGTTGAGGCTCGGGTTCTTCCTGCTCCATGGGTAATTTGCCTATATATAATTTAGCAATTAATATTGTTCACTTTTGGCATTCCACTAATAGTACATTTTGACTCTTCTTTCTTTGTAGTTGAAATATCACGACACTGGAAGAGAGAAAGAGCACTTGCCACAAGTTGGTCAGTGGAATATGATGAACAAGGTTAGCTCATACATAAAAAGATTGCAGTTACAATTTTTTTGTTAAGGAACAAAAAAAATAAACGAAAAAGGAAAATTTCTTGTTCCCAGCGGATCGTAATTATAGTTATTTCAATACAGAAAGTTATAAATGGAAGCACCGTACGATATTGGGCATGTATCAATTTCTCACGAAGTGTCCAAGAAAGTACAGCTCGTGGATTTTGCCAACAATTAGTTCAGATGTGCCAAATATCAGGCATGGTAAAGTTTCAGATTTTGGTTAACCGTGTTAGAAGAAGTTATATATTAGATATACTAGTTTGAATAGTACAAAACTCAATTTTTCAATTATGATTACACTTTCTCGTTATTCCATATCATCGTCATGTACACTACTAGTCTTAAACATATTTTTTGTATCCTTTCACAGGAATTTAGCCAGGACCCTGTGATTCCTATATATTCAGCAAAACCTGATCTGGTAAAGAAGGCCTTGAAGTATGTACATTCTGCTGACAAACTAGGTGGGAAAGAGCTAGAGTTGCTGATTGCCATTCTTCCAGATAACAATGGCTCTCTGTATGGTACGATTCTAAGTCACTCCAATATGTCCAGTCCATTAGTATCACTTCATGAGCGTAACTAGGATGGTAACAGTGTATAAATTATCGAAATGTTCAGAGGTTCTAGTACATTATTACTACTTTCATTTTCAGCTTTCTTCGTTTCCAATACCTATGAAAATGGGAATGCTTTTGCTTGCATATATTCTCTCTGTCTATCTCTTTTTCCCCCTCCTCCCGAATCTGCTACTGCTCATGTTTCCAAGAAAAAGATGCTGAGCACTTCTCTTTTTTGAAGGATAACTCCATATTTCATTCTTGCACTGAAGAAACTAATTCTTCATTCAGGTGATCTCAAAAGAATCTGCGAAACAGATTTGGGGTTGATTTCTCAATGCTGTCTTACAAAACACGTATTCAAGATTAATAGACAGTATTTGGCAAATGTGGCACTAAAGATCAATGTCAAGGTCTGTTATTATGAATTTTCAAGATTAATAGACAGTATTTCTCAAACTTTTTTTTTTTTTTTTTTTTAAATTTTCATTTTCTTAAATAAATGCAATATACTTTCAGATGGGAGGAAGGAACACAGTACTTTTGGATGCTCTAAGTTGGAGGATCCCATTGGTTAGTGACATTCCAACAATAATTTTTGGAGCTGATGTAACTCATCCAGAATCTGGAGAGGACCCTTGTCCATCCATTGCTGCTGTAAGCATTTACAAACTCCTCCAACGCATAGCTTGCCCTATATTTGATCTTTTCTGATTACTGTTATTCAGGTTGTAGCCTCCCAGGACTGGCCGGAAGTAACAAAGTATGCAGGATTGGTGTGTGCTCAGCCTCATCGCGAAGAACTCATTCAAGATCTTTTCAAATGTTGGAAGGATCCTCATCATGGTATAGTGTATGGTGGCATGATCAGGTACTTAGTAGCAGCTTTTCTAACCATCTTCATATGGGATAAAATGAAAGGTCATGTTTGCTCACAAATTTTACATATAGCTTATTTTGTTATATAGTCATATAGAATCCTGTTAGGTATTGACTTGATTTACTTAATAAGCCTGAACTGTTGACACTGTTTCAATTGCGTAATGGGAAAGGTTTCCAACCTTGCTTGCTTTTAAGCTTGTGCTTTTAACTTGAGTATAGATGTTTGTGCCTTCAATCAGTGACAATGGTTTTGCGTTTATTACCTGTAATTATTCAACATCAGCATGCCTATTTGGATCATAATATTATGTGCTACTGCAGAGAGCTCTTACTCTCATTCAAAAAGGCAACCGGACAAAAACCATTGAGGATAATTTTTTACAGGTAGGGGTGACGGTTCTGGTATTTTAAAGAACTTGTTCTTACAAAGGAAGTTAGGGTTGAGAAGCAGTGATTACTGTCTTTCTTATTTTTGATGTTATCCAATATATTTACAGGGATGGGGTAAGTGAAGGACAGTTCTACCAGGTTTTGCTATATGAGCTTGATGCCATCCGTAAGGTACTCTCTGACATAATATCTCGTTACAGTTATCTTTATTTATATTGACTATTTCATTCCCCAATGCTTAAATTTTCACTATGTTTAGGCTTGTGCATCTTTGGAAACTAGTTACCAACCTCCAGTAACATTTGTTGTGGTTCAAAAGCGGCACCACACTAGGCTCTTCTCAAACAATCATGACGACAGAAACAGTACTGATAAGAGCGGGAATATTTTACCTGGTAAAAGTTTTCTAACTTCTGCCTTTTGTTAGCATTAGCGCATGTAACTAACCAGCATTGCAATTTGAAATTATTAGTCCTAGAATTGAAACACGTTTGATTGGTTAATGTAGGTACTGTGGTGGATTCTAAGATCTGTCATCCTACTGAATTCGACTTCTATTTATGCAGTCATGCAGGAATTCAGGTATGATAATGATATCTATGTTGTTACTTTAGAAAGGATATATTAGTATCGGATATACATTAATGCATTTTACAGGGTACAAGTAGACCAGCACATTATCATGTTCTATGGGACGAGAACAATTTCACTGCAGATGAGATTCAGTCTTTGACTAACAACTTATGCTACACGTAAATAATTTCTCTCTTATCATCTCAAATTTGTTTGCTATATTCTTATGATGAAATTACCTCCTCATTATTTTGATTGTAGCTATGCAAGATGTACACGATCTGTTTCTGTTGGTAAGTCTTTGGCTCTTGCTTAAACATAAATAATGTTAGTTGCACACAGGAGCCACTCAACACTCCTTATACAATTACACACACTATTGTTTTAACAAAAAGAAAATATTGTGATTTCTGTATTAATTAAAAAATGAGTTAATACATCAATAGAAAATATGTGTATGAGAGGAGTGATTAGTGCATGCAATGCAACTAACTCATTGATCAATGTATAGTCAGCATTTTTGGATTTTCTGTTGTCTGGTTTCAGAGCAAATTAGTTACTCCTGTCAAATATAAATTCTGTAATGTGTGCAGTGCCTCCTGCGTACTATGCTCATCTAGCAGCTTACAGAGCTCGTTTCTACGTGGAACCTGACGTACCTGAGATTGCTAAATCGCGAGGTGCAAGATCAAAAGATGAGTCTGTTCGGCCACTACCAGCTCTGAAAGAGAAGGTGAAGAATGTAATGTTTTACTGTTGAATGAGGCGCAATGGAGAGACTTTGCAAGTAGAGAAAGAGCAGCATATGTGTAGAAAAAGGAAACTAAATGGAGGTGAGAAATTTCTATATGTACAACCTAACCTGCTCATGTTGTAAAAAAAAAGTCATCCAAACGAGTCCTTAATACTTGAAATTAAAGCAAGGTTGCAAGTTTGAGTTCCTAAGAAAAGATTGTTGGTTTTATAGAAAGTTAGGTCGAACATTATCTTGTTAAAAATGATGTGATCAGAATAGTATAATAAAGATAATGTATAAAGAAACTCGCTGATACTAATATTATGAATATGAATATGTACCGAAAAAATATTATGATGATTTCGAGTACACGATAAAATATAAAAATTTGAAAGAAAAGTTACTTCGTACATATTTAAAGAACAAAGGAGCACTGATCGAGTTCACTGTAATATAAACGCAAATGTAACAAAACTAAATTTCAGACATCTAATCACAAGTCTAATAACAATATCATTCGATTATTTGTTCGTAACAACCTACCAACATTGATGGCATCTTTCCAACCAAAGCATTAATCAATCAGTTTTTTCTATGTTGGCATTAGTGACTTAAACACCCAATGGATGCATGTAATTCAAGGAGAACGAACCATTTCACATAAGAAATAATGAAATATGCAAAATGAAATGAAGAAAGTAAGGTAAACCCGAAGAGTACGATAATATAATAAAAGGGTTCCTCATTTCTGATATAAAAACTTTGCAACAAATATATTTACATAAGATATGGAATCAGATTCTGAAATTAAAAAAAAAAATTCAAAATACGAAATCGGAAGTGAAAGTAACCGTTGCTGTAAATTTTCTGATATGGAGCAACAATACTATATAACTCTAGCTCTCCACTCAGAGGTTGCCAAGCCGAAGCTGCTGCGATGAGAGGTTGATTATGCCAACCCAACGTTAAACACCCTTTCTTTCTCTTCCACGCTGTAACCATTTTCTGAGAACAGACTCAACAGCATGCTGGCTTGCTTCAACGCATTCGAACCCAAATGCACCCACTTAGCCAGCGGTTCGTGCCTCTACACTCGAGCCGGTCCTTCACAGCACACCACCTTCCAAATCTCCTTCTGCAGGTACTGTTTCGGGCGAAAGTTCATAATAAAGGAGAATATGATGGGTACCGTGGCTTTCGTAATGGTAATTTTGCATAATATAATAAATCTGAAATTGGGCGTTGAAAGTATCTCTTTAATGACGAGGAATATATGATTCGAAGATTCTTTTATGACGAGTTATAATTGTTTTGCCCTAATACATTTATGGCTTTAATATTTCTATATTTACATTTACTTTCAAAATAATGTCATTTTATATTAGAAGATTAAAAAATTATAATAAGATATAATCTTAAAATAAATTATAATTATAAAAATATCTTGATTTTTACCTCAAAACAACGTCATTTTTAATTCAATGTAAATAACTTATCTATATTGACTATAGAAAAAATAACCCTAATTTATCATGTGTAAGGCAAGTAAGTATATTCACATGACCCATGAGTTTTAAAATAGTTGTTTTTTATTTTTATTTAATTTTTCTTTTTTGCAAATAAAAAAAAAAGTTCCACTTTACACTATGAAATATGTTGTGCGGAAATCTCATTTTCTACTATGAAAATTTAAAAGTTCCACTTTAAAAGTGCAGAGATATATCCTCTCATCATGTAGAGGCCCGTAAATGTAACAATCATCAAGTTTTAGGTTTATTTCTTATAAGGGTAATATTACTCTCATGTAATGTTCTCTCATGTTACAGAGAGAATTCAAGTAGGGCTCGCTATTTAAAAGCAAAAAAGAAAAAGAAAAAAGAAGGGGCACGATTTTTGAAATGAGAGAAAAGGAGATAACTACCTCATGTAAAATGAGAGTAGCATTTCCCTTCTTATAATTTGGGTTTTTAATTTTGCTGATGAAGTCTTCCCTGTATTATGCTCCTTCTCGTGAGGGGATGGTTGAAGAGCAACGATCAGATGCATAGAATTGGTGGGATTTGAATTGGTTAAGGGGTTTATTAGTTTCAAGTAACAGGAAAACAAACTTTTATTCCTCTACACTCATTCAAAAATGGGATTCACCAGGTGAGAGAAAAAAAAACAAAAAAAATGAGTGGCTCACTTATCGATGTGAGGACAAGAGACATTGTGATTTTGCTTGTTACTTGAAATAAATAAAACTCTCGGTTTAAACCTCCCTAGTTTTGTTTATGGAAAAACAAGTATCATGTTGTAAGACAATTTTCTTGTGATGTTATAGAGACAATAAGTGTGAGATCCACCATATTTAAAATAAAAAGAAAAGAAAAACTAATGCAGCACAAATATGTGTAAAAAACTTTATATTATTCATGTAACATGACAAATACAAAACCCTTTCTTTATATGCTTTATAAAGAATTGAACTTAAGGTTGATGCTTTTTTTTCTTAACCACATCACTTACTAGTCATGTTCACAGGCACGTGCACCTGCAACTGCAAGTGTGACCTCTTTCATTGTAAATGATGCATAACCAGCATTACTTAAAATTACAACTTTTAATTGACAATACCGTATATTAAGTTATCCAATAAATGGTTTTTGAAAAATTGGGATAATTGCATTTTTGAGCGATATTCACTCAATAAAATTACATCATTTTAATCAGAGTTATCTTGAGAATTTTGGATTTGCATATTTGCCTATGCTCAATTAGTGGCATGCCTTGTACTGTTCGAGGCATTAAATAATAACAGAGCAGAAATAATTTGAAGCTGGAGCCTCTTGTTAGAAAACCGTTTGGTATGCGAAATTCTTCAGGATTCTTGAGAAATTGAATTTTTTTAAATTTTGTATTTTCAGATATTATCGTAAACTGAATGTAAAAATTATATTTTTGAAAATCGAAATTACCGGATAAAAAAAAATTTCCTGCACCAAACGCCGAATTAGGAATAGGGCCAGTGCCAATGAAATGTAACAAAGGGATAACGTTTATTTCAAATCTATCATACAAATTGAATAACATTTCAAGTAACCAAGCTTTTCTTAAAAAGAAAATATATTTGCTCAGTGATCTAATCTCAAGCCCCAAATCCCTGTTCATTAGAAATTTGAGAGGATAATTAGAACAATCGCAGACCTCCTTTTCTAGTTAAAAACTTGATGCTGAGAGTCAGAGATCTTCTCATAAAATTTGGAAGAATTCTGTGAAAAGACACTGTTTGGAGCGTTAGGAATCTATATTTGCTGGTGTACGTTCATTGCCTCATGTAATCGATAATTTCTTATGCAAATCAGACACTTAATACTGCTAAAGAAGATCAGACAGATGGTAGAATAATTGTTCAGGGTTATCATGGGAAAGCCAGGGCAAATAACGTATGAATTCACATTTGAATATGATGACTGTTTAATCTCCTGAATTCACTATTTTTTCAATATAAAAAATAGTGCAGAAGAGGAGCCAGTCAGATACCTCGTAGTTGCTCTGCCTACAAGCAAGTTTTTTGCTGCTGGCTATAGGAATTTTCTTTTAAAGATTTCATTGAGAATTATTTATGTGGCTCTATTAGCTGGTGATCAACATAAAAATCAGCTCTGTGGTGCTCGAATATACTGAGCTCAGTAATAATATAAAGATGACTTCACAATGCGTCAATACTTACTCATGAACACAAATGCTTTCAATTCAAGATTGATACCAGTTTGGAATTTTACAGTCCACGAGGAGCACTAGATCATCGCCAACTCAAGCATGATTTCCATGGACTCAATTACTCAAAATCAGAAGCATTTAGTTTCTCAAAGTCCCTAGGGATTTGTACAATGACTAGAAAGAGACGCTCGATTTCAAAGGTTTTGCTCTACATGCTATGGTGAATGGAGAACATACTTTAAACTGAGTTAGCAGCAGCAAGTAATTGATCAAAAACTATTCTTAGAAGAATTTAACATGCACGTAGCAACTTCAATGGTAAATTCAGCAGCAGCAATAGCAACCATATATATTGGCATTGGCTTCTGGGTAGATCAAAAGACAGCAAAATTTTACACTATTCATGCGAACAGGTCATTACATAGTCCCTAAACCGGGCTTATTTGCTGACATAACCTTTCATCGGATAGATTCCCCACATCTAGATTTGTGTGATTGGGCTCCGGGTCTACACTTATTTGTGTTTTGTTTTGACAATAAAGAAAAGGGAAATCATTTTCTCATGCTACATAAGAAAAATTATCTCATATAGCAGAAACAATATCATAAGCAGAACCCACAGACAAGAAGAGAGAAAAAAAAAAACAAATATGGAACTTACCTCTATTTTGTGTGATTAGAAATTTAGCTTCTCTAATGTGAAATAAAAGAAATATAACCTAAGAAAAAAGATAGACAATAAACTTTCCTTTTCACAGCTAGTTATACTTCTACAGAGTTGTGGGATTGCAGTGATAGGAGCAGAGCTCCTGAAACTATAGAAGAAGAGAAACGAAAAGAGAACCTCTGCAATCTTATTGTTTGAATGGTTTTTCAGTAAATGCAACTCTATTTATCACATCAACCTTATCTAACTGATAAACGTAGGATGATTAACCGGCACTGATACACGGTTATAACTCCCTAACTACACTATCCACTCCAACTGAATCCACTATACGTTGTTATATGCTGTTTCCGCATTCAAGTTTCACAGACATGGCTGCATGACCCTTGTCTCTTTTAGGAGCAGGCCTCCTAAAACTTCGAAGAAGAGAAGTGAAAAGGGAACTTCTGTAATCTTATTGCTAGAATGGTTTTAAAGTACATGCCACCTTATGTAACTGATACACGTGAAATGACTAACTGCTGCTGTTACACGGTTAAGACTCCCTAACTCCAATAACTACAACTGAATCCACTATCGGCTGCTATGCGTTGTTTCCATGTTCACATTCTTAGACATGGCTACATCACCCTTGTCTCTTCTTTCTTCCAGAGATTCTGAGTGTAATATGTAGCACAGCAGCAAGTTGTTTTGAATCACATAAAAGCAACTCACAAGCAGCAAATTATAAATTGAAACCACGGTTGAGGTGAATTAAATCACAATTGTCCAACAATAAAATATTGCTAAACGGCTGACCAGAAATCAGAGAGAAATTACAAGATCAAGAACATGTTTGTCTGAAATTTAAGACCCGTAATTAACAGGACAAATGGTCCAAATACAGTCAAATTTTGCCGATAAAAGAAAATGAAAATGGAAAATGGGGTTCGGAATTAAGGATGAATTCCTCAACATCACGCAATATCTGTAAGTTAACAGCTACCTACGAAATAAGATGGATGACCTGATAATTAAATTTTTCAATAAAAATGACCTAATAATCGATCTTGAAAGTTGAAACAGATAATCACCTTCACCGGTAAACAAATAACCTCGCACATCTGAATATGATGGGGATAAAAGTATTGCATGACAGTGCTCCCAACAACCCCAGAGAGAAAAGATAGAATTTTTGCTCTAATGAAGTCTGGAATTAGTAGGGAAATCAAAGAGCAAACACGCATATGTGGAAAACCAAGAATAACAACAGAAAGAGCTAGGTCCATAAAGAAGCAAGCAAAATTGCAATTCCACATCCTTCTGAAAATAATACCTCATATTGCATAAAATTTTTTCTTAAGGTTGTTGAGATTAGACAACAATTATACAGCATTACAGCTTAAACATCACGTAGAAACTATAAATAAGTGTTACAAATGCTCATAGAGAAGCAAGTTTACCCTTTCCTTCACTCTCACCTGCCAAATCATCATCATCATGATTGTTACTCTCAATATCAGATTGCTTGGACACCAGTGCTTCACGCTGTGCCGGAGCATTCCCAGGCCCAGTCACGGACTGTTGATAAAGAACTCCCCCAACAATGGTAAAAAGCAGACAAACCAAACCAACAGGGCTAGCATGCTTATCCCAAATAACCACATTGATGGACACGGTGAGAAACTTATTTACCACACCGGTGACGGTAAAAGCTGTGGCGGAAACAGCTTTTCTAGCCGCAAACCCAAAGAAACTGATGAGGAAACCAAACACACAGGACAATGACACAGCAGCAAGTGCATTGGTACCAAACAAACTCCCATACCCCAATCTCAGAGCAGCAAAAACCTGAACATTCTCTCCGGTCAAGAACCAAAAGAAAGGAGCCATCATCAGAGACAATAGATTATTGTAAAACACAAAACCCCATGTGTTAAGCCCAAGATTCATGACCATGTGCTTGATGTAAACCATCTCGGTGGTGATTGTTATCAAATAAGCAAACGCCCAAGAATAAGCAGTGAGAGTGAAAGCAGAATCGGTGGCAACATAGCCAACAGCGCCACCGAGAATAACGATGAGGGAGAAGAAGGTGAAGTTGGAGGGGCAAGGTTGGCTCCTAAACGCAGTGTCGGCCAAGGCAACCAAAAGAGGGGTTAAGGATCTGAAGACAATGAAGGTGTCAACGTTGGCGTGACGGAGAAGATTGGTGTTGGTGAAGATTGCGAGGTAGAAAACGAGAGCGGCGGGGAAGAATTTCTTGGCTGTGGGCAAGGTGAAAGGGTCGTGGTGGAGAAACCCTAATTTGCCTAAGAGATAAACACCGAGAGCGGAAGTGAGGTACTGCAATGCGGTTAAGAGACCTGGGTAGTTGAATTTGGTAATGGCGTACTTGTTGATGATTGCTAACAAGCTCGAACACAGTGCATACCCTACCACAAGACCACTTGTGGTGTAATATTGTTGCTTCCCACCATCCAATCGAATCGACGACATTGCAATTTTGTTCTCGTTTCGATTCGATTCGATTGAATAGATCGATGAGAAAGAAGAAAGATTGATAGATAGATCTTTCGATTTGAAATGGAGAATGAAGAAAATTCAGGTCTGGTAATGTAAATTGGAAACAGAGAGAGTGTGTGTGAAAGAGAAAGAGAGAGGTGTGTGTTAGAAGAAGGAGGACAATTATTGCAACTTCACTTCATTGCTGTTCAGAATTTGTATGGTTACGACGACGGGTGCTTTAAGTCGTAAATCAAACAAAAGCTTCAATGAATATCTGCTAATTTAAGTACGACGTCGTGTTTGCCATCTTAGACGGGTGAATCGTGATAACAAGGGACGTTGGTGAGATCCTTCCTAGAAAAAGATGCATTTTAATTTCAATGCTTTTAATATTTTTTTTTTTTGTTTTTTCCACAGGAAAATTGGACCACGCAACTCTTCTTCTTCTTGAATTGTATTTACCATGGCATGGGTGACAGTTTTTTCCTTTTTTTTTTTTTTTTTGTTTACTCTCACCATTTATTATAATGAAGAATCAAGTCATTAAACCAATATCAGATATCACGTGCGTGTTATTATTTGTCAGCCGCATGGGCCAAACCCTGCACTGTTTTTGTCGGTCGCAAATTCATTTAACCGAAATAATTATTTTAAAATTATTTTTGCTTTATGTAAATTTTAAAAAAAAGAGATTTTAAAAAATAATTTCAAATATTCCGAAATAAATATATATTTGATTGGATATAACTCATATTTCACGTTCAAATAACAATTCTTGTGGGCGAGATATAGAAAAATCAATATAGATCCTATGGATACTTGATACTATTGTGAGCCTAGTGTTTATTTGTTTATTTATTATTTTAAAAATTTAAATTAGACTCATGGATAATTTATTATTGCTTAGATTTCTAAGCCTATTTATATTCTTCTTATGAAAAGAGTTTTGTAACAAGTGTAGTAAAGATAATATTATAAAACATTACTCTACATAACCCGTATTAAATGAATCAGGATGAATTTGTGTCATCATTCTTTCTTCTTTTTTATTTTTACTGTTTTATGATTTTTGTGTGTGATTATTCGTTCCAATACATTTATACTTATTAATTAAGTCATTTAACATAGGGTTTATCGTTTCTATTGCTACAAGAGATAAAGTTATCTCCAATAATCTCAAAACCAAGAGAGGTGTATTGGATTGGAATTTTAAAGGATTTAATGGATTATTTTTGGACAAAAAAATTCATTGGTATTCAATGAATTTTAAAGGATTGAAAAAAAGTCATGTGATATTCGATAGAATCCGTCCAAATCCAAAGATATTCCATCAGGATTTTAAACAAATGAAAAACAATCTTGTGGTATTCAAAAATCTTACGGTTTTAATGGATTTTCTATTGGTGTGTATTTCGTGAGACTTTTTAGTGAGAAATATAAATAGGATGTCTTTCTCACAATCTCATCCTAACCCCTAAGATTTATTGAGATTTCTCTATTGCAGTGTCTTCTTTTTCCTTTAGCAGGTCGACCCACTCAAAATCGGATTTCGCCATGGGAGCTTCGTCAAAGCTCAAAAACAGCATATTTTTGAGTAATTTTCATCATAAAACAACTCAAAAATAACAAAACAATAAGATTCTAATATAATTTATCTCAAAAACAGCATATTCTTTTAGAGCAAGTTTAAAAAATTTCTAATATAAGTCATTTAAAAGGTTGGAGAAATTAATAAAGGGTGTTTTGATAAAATTTATATAACAAAAAAAAAATTCCTAAAATATTTTTCATTATTTTTCTTATTCTCCAAAACGACGTAGTTTTAAAGTTGCTGGAAATAACTTGATCAGAGGAAAAAACACTTTTCCCTTTAACTTATTAAAGAATAAGGATAATAAAATGAGTTACTGGTATGAATAAACATTTACCTTATTGGCATCTTTTATTTTTTGCAAAATAAAAAATAAATTGTTAACGCATGTTTTAATTTTAAGACACAAATTAAGAAATAAAAAAATCAAAATTGTTTAAAAAAAATTAAAAGCATTTAATGTTTAAAAAATATATAGTGTTTTTAATTTTAGTATTCCTAAACATTTAAGAGCACATGTTAACAAAATCCAATAAATAATTGCAATGAGTGTTTCAAGTAAATTATAACTAGACAATGAGAAGTTAACCTCCAAAAAAAAAGACAACGAGAAGTTAATAAGTATTCGAATACAATTATATTGAATAATTGCCCATTGTAGCGTTTTTTAGCACAGGTAGACTGAGCCTGTTGCATTGTCCACTCTTCAAGCTCAATGTGCTCTCGTGTGAGGGGGTGTTTTGAGATATATAGTTACACATTGGTTATATGTGCAACTAATGTGGAGTTTATAAGGTCTTGGCACTCTCATCCTTTGAACTAGCTTTTGAGATGGTGTATCCCAAGATTCTTTACATATCCCAAGGTTCTTTACATGGTATCAGAGCCCTCTAAATCTCACCGTGTTGAGATATATAGTCTCACATTGATTGTATGTGCAATTAATGTGGAGTTTATAAGGTCTTGGGCACTCCCACCCTTTGAGCTAGTTTTCGGGGTGGTGTATCCCAAGGTTTTTTTACATGATATCAGAGCCTTAGAGCCTTCAAAATCTCACTGTGTTGAGATATATAGTCTCACATTGGTTGTATGTGCAACTAATGTGGAGTTTATAAGGTCTTGGGCACTCCCACCCTTTAAGCTAGCTTTTGAGGTGGTGACCTCAAAGTTCTTAACATGGTATCAGAGCCTCGTCGTCCCCCACTTTCTCTTGAGGCGTTTCTTAGCACAGGTAGGTTGGGCCTGTTGTATTGTCCACTCTTCAAGCCCAATGAGCTCTTGTGTGAGGGGGCGTGTTGAGATATATAGTCCCACATTGGTTGTATGTGCAACTAATGTGGCCTTTTTAAGGTCTTGGGCACTCTCACCATTTGAGCTAGCTTTTGGGGTGGTGTATCCTAAAGTTCTTTACATAGTATCAGAGTCTCGCCGCCCCCCCCCCACTTTCTCTTGGAACTTCTTAGCACAGGTATGTTGGGCTTGTTGCAGAGCTAGCTTTTGGGGTGGTGTATCCCAAGGTTCTTTACAAACTATCCTTTTGATATTTTTCCTCAGAGGAAGGTTATACTTATAACTTTTTTTTACAGCCTCTTACAATCATATCTTAACACCGTTGATTTTCGCCAATCAACGGTTATCATTTATTATGAATTAATAATTAGTTAATGAGTTTAATTGGCAAAAATCATAACCGTTGATTAACAAAAATCAACGGTGTTAAGATATGGTCGTAAGAAGTTGTAAAAAAAAAGTTGTAAGTATAACCTTTCTCTTATCCTCAAATGATTAGTTAATAAGATGTATTTATAGTTTTATCATTTTTATATATATTTTAAAAAATATGAAATAAGGAATTACTAATAGTAATATCAGAAAAATAAAACTTGGACACCGAAGGACAAAAACATCCCTTTATAATACTATGCGTACAGTCAATTCTATTCATCTTTAACGTGATTCAAATCCATACCATAAAAAAAAAAAAAAACGTGTTTCAAATTTGAAATTTAATTTGTATATCAATTTAAATCTCTTTTTTATATTAAGTTCAAAAATATGCAATTAATTTATAAATTAAAACAACTAAACTCAAATAAAATCAAATTAATTCTCATTTAAAGATTCCAACAACCTAAAGGAATATAAGACGGGTTTATTTTGGCGAATAGTAATGATAAATCATAAATGCAAGACTTGCCCACGCCGCCACGCGTACTCTCTGCTACTTTTATACAAGCTATTAAATAACAGCATGATGCCACTGCAACTTTGTTTAATGGTTCAAATTAGACACAAACCTGGCATAGTTAGTAGTTAGTACAATTATCTTTATGCTTTGAACGATACAACCAATAATCACATTAATTTTAGGAAGAAATCAAAGTGCTCAGCTACTACCAAGAATTCCGAACATTAAAGAATGAAACAGAGCAAGAAAGGGAGAAAATGAAGCTCATAGATGAAATGCTAGATAGGGAAATAATTAGGAAATAAATTGCAATTAGAGAACAAGTAAGTTCGATAATAAACTTTTACTGAGTTTTTGTGGCATACTCTTACATTAAGCTTTTGTAGTTATATTCCAAATGGCGTGTCTGTGAAACCAAGAAACAAATCAGTCTTTATCGATAAAATAGAATATTTGAAGCAATTTTATATGTTGTGTTTGGACATGTACATATGAAGATATATTGCACAATATACTATATCCCTGTCAAATATATATTGTTTTCTGAAACAATGCATTCATTCTCAACAATATTGTAGGTGACAAACCTCAAAACTCCTACAAATTATCTCAACAACGTGGAGAGCCAAGAAGCTTGGAGATGCAGAAACCAGGGTATTGCTTTCAAGAACTATTTATTTGATAAATATAGTAAGCGATGACTATATATGTATACACTTTTACTGCAAATTCCAACATATATGCTCAAATTTTACTCTATTAAGACTGTGATGATGTTGATTGGCAACCTAAAGACTCTTATCAATGTAAGAATGCGTAATGCTGCAAAGCTTCTATGTAAATGTGAAGATATTTGCTTATTTTTCCATTCGTCTACTTTAAATTCCTCGTTAAATTTCTTCTGCTTTCCTTATAACTTCCTCTTATGCATACCAAGCTTAAAATAACTTGTATGTTTATGCTGCCGGAGCATAGTCATAATCACCATCGTCGTCGTCGCCGCCTTCCATGCAAGTTGCAGGAGCATAGTCATACCCATTGACACCACCATCATTGCCATGCTCCTTGCACCATGGAGAAATGACCTCTGAAATGAAAGACATTTTTTTAGACTTAACTGGTAGTAGAACAACAGTGAGAGCAAAACCTATTGTCCTGAATTGAGACTAGTAAAGAAGAAATTAATGGCAGGTATTAGATACAAGGGGTGTAAGTTGAGTTTGAGTAAGGGAGAGACCTGTTGCTTATATAAAGGGAAAGGAAAGCGTGGAACTCGTTTTGGTATAAGCACGCTACTAGGGAAGTGTGGATTTATGCTGGGAGTGTGGGCATGAACCATCCCAAGATGTTTGGTGCTAGATTGTCCAGCTACGTACATATGGGAAATCCAATTGACATAACTCTACAAAC